AGTAACCGATTGTAACCGATCATCGGTTACTTGGGTCCAACCGATGATCGATTACGAAATTACAACCGATTGACAACACTAGCATGCACACGCACTGTGCATAAGGATATGTGAGTCCATGCACAGTGCGTGCGGTGAAATCGTGTGTTGCAGCGAAGCAGTTGAACCACATTGTTACCAGTATTAGGCAAAAAAGCATAGATAATCATTTAGAATACCTTTGGGTTAAAATTATAAAATAATATATTTTACATGTAGGTGATATGTGGTCAAAATTTCAGTACCTATTTTATTTGATAGATGGTGCCGCTGGGCAGCTAACTAATAGTCAGGGTGTTAGCCAGGAAAAAAATCAGGGAGTCTCTCCATCTGAGCGAAGCGAGGATGCTGCGGGCGCGAAGCGCCCTATAGGGGGAGGGCCTTACCTTAAATTTTAAAATGGAGCAAATTTAATCTGAAATGCCAAAAAGACAGGAATCTGATATGATTTTATATTCTTATAAGCACTGTTGTCAGTTAAATACAAGATGTATAATATATAAAATTGGGCCGCCCTCATTCTGTCTTTATCAAATTTTATCCGTCCCATCCAGGGCTTGAATTAAGCGACGAGAGGGGCGAGGCAATTTTTTTAGGGCATGTGAGAAATTGCCTTGAATTTTATCTAAAATAGAAGGGCACCAAAGCAACTCAAAATTTGAGAAGGGCACCAAGGAACTTTTGTAAAATAAAGGAAAACTCATAACAAATTAATACATCAACATCATCTTGCTTTTAATGTACAAAATAGTAGGCTCTGTACCCCCCTCTGCTAATGGAAGTACAGTAACAAGAAATTTTACATGCCCACTATCAGGAGCGAATAATTATCCCATGCTGTTATTATTCCCTCCTGCCACTATCGGTTTCAAGATCATCATTGCAACTACAGCGCGCGCGTTATGTTGACTCGACTAAAAACGAAACCAGGGCAGTAGATTAAAGGGCACCAATGCAGCGAACGAGCTTGGCACTCGCCCGCTCGCCAATGTCAAGTGAAAATAATATCGGGCGAGTAAAAGCTGAAGCTGACTCGCCCATGTTGGCGAGTAAAAATAATTGTCTAAAACTTTAATCGAATGTTGGTTCCTTACATTATATATCCAAACATTGATGAAAAATAGTTCTAGCGATTGTGAAGGGCGGCTATCGCACGGCATCCTCACTTTATATTATCAAAGGTCGCTGACAGTCAGCACAGCGTGGTTCATAGATTGCAAGTAAATTTTGTACAGATCTGAAAATAATTAAGCGTCGAGGCCTGTGTTAATTCAGTTGGCAGATAGATTAACTTTTAACCACATTACTTTGCTTTAAAATTGCACTTGCACAACTTGGCAGAGACTGAGCAATTCAACCCTCAGCAATTTGAAGTTTATGTTTCTCTTTTTTTAAGTAAGTATTTTAGTCTTTGGTGTACGTCCCCAAAGGTTAAAATACTCAACTCAAAAGTGATATTTTTGTGATGAAGATTAATTGTTTAATAATGCTGCCTCAGAGTGCAGGAATTTGCATCTAAGAGGTGTAATTTTCAAAAAAAAATTCTTCGGGCTCCACCTAATCAAGGACTCCTTCCCGAACCCACCCCCATAGTCTTTTTTTTCACTATTGTTTGACAAGCATTTTTGTTCTAAAATTTGGGCGAGTTAACTTATTGACTCACTCGCCCAGTTTGGCGATAGGTTTTTATTTTAAAGCTCGAACACTGCCGATGGCAATTACACAAAAGGGCAAGGCAGGTCACTGCCATCGGTCGGGTTGGATTTTCAGGGCCAGTGCGGCGATTGATAGGGGCACCGACGGCAATTCAAAAGACGGATAGATCTGGCTAACACACGGCTAATAGTAGATTATTACGTGTGTGGTCTATCCGAAACACAAAATCTCTGCGTATGCTTACCTGGTTATTGCAAACCCCAAAACGCCCTTTAAAGTGGATAAACCTCACAACAAAAAGCCTACATACATCTACTGTGAGCATACTTGCAGTATGCAAACATCACTAAATGTTCTTATTGAACCAGAAATGTGCTCCAAACATCGGGATTTTCGAAACCGCGTCGGACGCGTTTTGGGCGTATAGATAGCACACATATATTGTTTTGGAGTGAAGAGCCAACAGTAGGCCTACGCTAGTGCAAATAGTTCCTGGAACGAAAACTATATATTTGTTTCCTGATTGCATAAGTAATGTAGATAACATATGTTTTAAACAAATTTCACAATTTCGTACCGAGTAAACATAGAACAATAAAGTATAACATGTGTTATCACAGAAAAGAACTGTTAATGCAGCACAACGTTTGCTCGGCTGTGTACCGGCTGTGTAAACACAGTAAAAATCCTATGGTGCTACAGGGTGCCCAGGATTTTTTAGTGCCGGGCGCATCCAGTTGCGACGAAGTCGGAAGATGCAAGCGCCGTAGGCGCGAAGCCAATCTAGGGGGGTCCGGGGCATGCCCCACCGGGAAATTTTTAATTTTGGATAGTCTGAAACTCAATTTCCTGCATTCTGAACAATAAAAAGCCCATATATCAGACTTCTTTTTTTTATATCAAAAATTAGTGCCGGGCGGAGATATATAGTGCCGGGGCGGCAACCGCGAGTGCTGGGCACACCCGCCCACCGTGGGCAGAACTCTGGTGCTACTTTCGTAACTTTGGTATAGATTTTATGAAGAAATATTCTGAAAGTAGCAATACAAACAACAAATAAGTTGTAGTGAATTTTTACAACATAGACGAGCTCACAGTAGGTATATCTATGCATTTTGCCGCAAGAACATGCCGTTTTAAATAGTGACATCATGAGCACACGCTATCCCAGAATATACTGCGTGCCAACCCTGCATGTGAATCAGAAATGCTGTTAGTTGAACTGCTTTTGCTCTTCTATACTAAATTATTGTGTTAAACGTTACACATTTTCTTCCATCTTTTCACCTTATTTCCTAAAATTAAGCATTTTTGTTAAATTCCAGGGATCGTTTTACTAGTTTATGCTATGAACAACTTATGGCGCAAAGTTTAAATCCTAACCGTTTCTGAGAAATGTGAAAAAAAAGTTTTTTTAATAAATTTACAATTTTTGCTGTCACGTAATTGGCAGTGAAGTTTCTCTGATTATTTTCACTGTGAGCATAGAGAGACATGTATCTCTTTTATTAAATAGGCGTGAGTTTGATTGGATTTGATGAGCAGTTATGTTGTAATGCCCTTTACAGGCATTAATTAATTAATTATTAATGTCATTAATGGTCATAATAACATATATAATATATATATGGTCATGGTCATATATTAGTTTGTGGTTTAATGTCATTTAGGTTAGTGTTAGGGTTAGGATTATCAATCATTAATCATTAATCATTAATGATATCAAAGTTGGGAACACTCCTAATGAAGCGTTATAGCCCCTTTACAGTGGTACCTGTCCATGACCCTGACTGTATCCTTCAGATTTTGATAATAAATACATTGAATGTTTATTTATCATTATGTTATTATTGATGTGTTCTAATTAAGTGCCTGTGGCTCAGGGCATGAGAAACATGGCACAGTTTGCAGCATTGAAAAATGCCACCCTTATCAGGAGTTACAGGCGCTATGGTGATAATTTTTTGACCGATTTTGGGGAAATCCTAAAGTATTGTGAGGTATAGGTGCAAATTGCACAGGTTTTGAACCCCTCCTACTGTATTTGAGTAAATTTATTGCCAAATTCAAATGTGTTTTTGCCTTCATTTCAGGTTTAATTATAATTATTATAACACAGTGTAATTATTATATAACAGGTGGACAGTGACAAACAGGTAGAGATTGAGCCTCTTGTTTAGAAATACCAACGCATTCATAGTGAAATGTGTGGTGGGCATGTCAGTGTCCATTCTGCCACATCTATCTTCATTTTCTCTTTCAGGAAAGCTATCATCATAGAGAATGCCTGATTTGCTCGGAGGAAAAGACGAGGCGTCTGTGCTCTCCAGTGGATCCAAGTATAATATCAGTCGCTCCTGCATGAATATGGTCACCAGCACCCAATGGTCACCAGTAGGATTCGATGGGGCCAGAATCAATGAAGTGGCACTGACGCCATCTCTACGGTCTGCCCAGAGCATTCCAGTTGACTGACCCCCTCTCCAGTAATGTCACTGCACTTGGTATGTATAACATGTGACTGTGATCGTGCTCCATCAGCCAGAGATATGCGTTTATGATCTCAACTGTTAGCCAGCCACATGCAAACTGAACATCGTGTGAACAATTAATGACCAGCAGAGAATAAAATACACGGGGGCGGCGGGCGAATTCGCCCTCGTTAGGTTTTCGCAATCTCCCCCAAAATATCGATGACTAGGGCGATTTTTTTCGTGCGTATTATGAAAGAGTCGCCCCGTAAAATTTCTGACTGTTCCAGCGGAAACTCGAGAATCAAACGCCGAGCCAGCCGGCCGTGGTGGTAGCGAGTGCATGCTGCCTTACATTAATTTGACTATTAAAAAGTAGCCCTCGAAATGTCAAATGTAGCCCCTGAAACATTTTGGACACCTAGAAAATAGAACCCTCGAAAAAAAAAAAAATTAATTTTTTTCCTGATGACCAGTTCAGCATGAAGAATGAAAGAATCCAGTGACTTCAAATCAGCTAGGCTAATGCGGTGAGGTCTTACTCGCAGTACGGTTTCCATGACAGTATGCATTGGCCCACTTGGTGTAAAGAATGTGTTCACAGTGTCTGGCTTCAGAGGGAATGAGGGATGCTACCAGGGGGACCTCCATTTTAAGCAGAAGGTGTAGAAGGTTATCAAGCGCTTGTTCTGTCACCACTTCATGTGTTCCAGCCGCTGTAGTTGTCATCTGTCATCACTAATTTCAACTCTGTGCAGTCTCAGTCAGACACATCACGTGAAAGACCCGTGAACGATTTTCAAATAATCTTTTATCGCTTTAATGGCTCATATATATAGTGGTGGGTGATTAAAGTTCATTGAGTGGTTGTGTGTGACATGAGTAGCACCCATTGTATAGCAATAGTAGTTGAGCAGGAGATGAAATTTCCCTCCAGTGGAGTTAAACCGGGGACCATAACACTGTAACTGAGTAATTGTATTGTTATTTTTTTCATTTACAGGACGACGTGCAGCAGACCATGAGTATAATAATGCCAGTAAATGTACGAAACTACCAATGGATAATTTTTGGTATGACACTTTAATAACAATAAAAATAATTAGTACTTAGCCTAGATATACTGGGAGGCATTTTAATTGCAAACGTGTTACATATTAGTGCATTCATTTATATTTCAATGCTGGCAGTAACTGGAATATAGAAAAGCTCGTCCGTGCTACGTATAGTAGGCACGTGTGATCGTATAGTGTGACCAGGTTCGTTTGTACAACAGATACGCGTGCTATTGCACTTAAACCATAGGCAGTATATTGTACTGTAATCAAAAGAATCATTTCAGTTACTCTATTCTTTAATAATCAACATCAGCGTGATAATCATATACAATCATAGGTGCGCAGGCCAATAATCAAATACGCGTTACAAATGGTTCATATCTTACGGCCTAAGAGCAGCAGGCATGTCCTCAGTCATAGATGTCCGGCGGTGACGGTAGCGTGGTGACGAGAGCAGGCGAGAGCAGCGCGGTGCTGACAGCGTCGTGAACTGTCAGGCACCGTGGTACTGTATCTGTCTTTCTGTTCAAATCGGTTGGTATTTATGCTTCTGGAGGTATGCGTGCCCCGAGCGTGGTCAAGTCCTTGTTGACGATGGTGGTGCAAGACGTGTCGTCATCTCCAACATTTTTATGGGGGACTAAAGGTGTGAAGCTGTGGAAGCTTCTTGAATCTGGCATGGGAATAGCAGCAGAAGCTTCTAGAAGTCCTTGGGAATCGCGGCAGTTCGATTCATGTTCTCATAGTTCACATTTGTCGGCGTTCATTGTTTGTTCTTTATCAGTCGGCATGCGACATCAAGGTGTAATGTCCTTCTATACTATAGGTACTAAACTGTCACTCTGCCGTCGTGGGTGATAACTTTTACTCGTGTTCCAGTGACTCAGTTTCTTTGGATAGTTGGGTGGCGTCTTTCGTTTGTTGCCTTGACTGCTATTTGTCGACTAAAATAACATATGACGTGATGCTGCTTAAAGTTAAACGACCCGTAACGCTAGGTTTTATACTACTACTAGGTTAAATAATTCGATATCTACTTCATTACAGGGACATTGTTTTTTTTGTTTATAGATGGCGTTGCTTGGGAATTTATTTTCGACAGAGAAGAAAGTCGGTGGCTGTGAGGAAATTTTGTATGTCTTGCAGAATAAGCCTGTCATCGTTCCTGTCTATAAAGCCAAGAGTGTACCTTGTCGATGAGGTACGTATATTGCTGATGTACTGGAAATTTTCGTCTACGTAGCTTATGCGGCTCGGGTGTATATGCTCAAAGAAGGATTTTATGATAATCAATAACCCTGCTAGTATAGGACCTTTCGTGTCGTAAGTTCGGCAGAGAATATTCAAGGCGAACATGAAGCAATTTAGGAGTATTTACTCGTTCGCTCCTACTCTGTACAGTTCAACGAAGTTAATTTGTGACATCACAACTGTTAACTGTATCATGTACTTTGTATAGGTTTAGTGAAAAACATCTGCATAATGGAGCATCAATACTGATCATCCACCTCTTCGCGAAGTTTGCGTTTGTGGTATAGGATGCTGTGGGCGCATCCGTGCTTGCATGATATTTAACGGTGAACGTGGATTAAACTGGATATCCGTCAACCGAATCACAACTTACCACATTATAGTCGCAGTTTACGTTCATTTGGAACTTTATTTCATTTGGAGACTCCACTCCAGGATATGCCCATCGCCCGTTAGTACGTGTAATCTGAAGAAGCAGCGTTCAACCTCACCTGAATCTCGTGTCGCTGGTCTGTGTCTACTCTATGCTTATGTCATTACTGTGCAAGGTCTGTAAATGCATAATGCAAGGTGATGGCAATTGATGGATTCTCTAACTGCATTCGATTAATCACTTCATTGCAACTCACAATTCGTGACTGCGCATCACAAAGGTCACGGTCATATCCATAGATACTTGCAACCACGAGTCTTTGTAGCAAAAAATACATGTTTAGGAAGAGGACTTCTTTACGCATTAACGAAACAT